CAGCACATACAACCTATCGCCTATCATACAAACAAAGGATTGAATGTGTTATGGCCAGGTAGCTAACCTGGCAATAGCAAGCCCCATTCGCATCGCCCAGTCTTGCACACTAGGCATGTTCCTGTTGACACCTTGAGGCCATAGGCATTCCTGGTCATAAAAAGCTAGCTCACCGTCTGCCAAGAGATGTTTGCTAAAGTAGCCTCTACCGCCGCTCACCTTCAGAACCGCTGCGACCACCTGCCAAGGTTAGATTCTAGAATTCTATTTCATGCAAGAGGGTAAAGAATAGACAAACAAAAAAGCATTTACTGTTGCATCTCTTTTTTGCTAGTGTGGCCTCCTTATTGTTTTCAACATCTCTGAGGGTCACTTTCTTGGTGCCAGCCCTCTGAAAGCACCGCCCGCTATGGTCATGGATCAAGCTGAGTCCAACCTGGGCTGAAGTGTATGTTGTGAACACAATTACTTCACCAAAAAACGAAAATTGAAACACAAATGCAAGAAACAACATGTCACCAAACATCAATCCTGCGAGGAACATTTTTCAGCCTTGGGAAGGCTTTCAAAGAATCTGCTACGTTTGCTGCGGTGTAATCCTCTTTGGAGGTCTGACCCATATCTGACAAAGTCTTGAAACAGAAACAAGCCGGCCGACTCGAGAAATGGCTGCGGAGAATTGGAGCAATTGGTTCTGATTCTGTGAGTCGGACAACTGCTCCCTTAACTATTCTGGAGGAACTGCAGCAGTGCACCTCTCTCCAAGGAAGAACTTGCTTCGTAGTCCAGTTCATGGAGCGTGTCCATGGCCCGAAGACGTATGGCCACACGTATGGCCACGACAATGGCCACAACAGACTGCGTGGCTGCCAACAAAGTCTTAGCTGACATTGTTCTGGAACAAGTAGCTTTCATATGGTGTGTCATTGTGCCACAGCTGCCCTTCTACCCTTCTACAAACAAAAAGCAGTGTAACAAATGACCACCCTGTTTTGCCATATTCTCTATACCCAAATGAAGCGACGACTGTGAGTACTGGTTGGGACATATCTTTTGGGCCAACACTCCTGCTTGCCCGGTCTCGAAATCGCTCAAACTCGTGAAGCCCCAAGAGCGGGCCACTTCTTGCACAATCTCTTTGTGTAGAAAGACAGCTGTGGCTGTCACAGTGCTCTCTGTCGATCCGTTTCGAAGCCATCAACCCGCAGGACTGCAGACACTGGTATTTTGTGGAAGCATATGGTCAAGTTTAGTTTTACACACTGAATTTTCATCTCCCAAAGGAGTTTGAGAACGGCTACTTACTGCTAAAGTGTGGGAACCCATGAAAAACAATAATATAGCTCTAAGCGAGTCCAAAGACACCCCATTCCATGACCAATAGAACATCTACAACCAGCTTGAATCCTCTATCTTTCGTCATCATGGTCCACCTGGCTACCTCAAACACACATTCACCAAAGAAAGGTGGTTTCATTTCCAAACACTTTCTTGATCAACAGACCCGGGGGATGCTCAACAGTTACTGTATTCTTGCGCAACCCGCCTAATGAACAAACCTTCTGGAAACTCATCAAACTCTCACCCCCAAACCTCTTACATACAGCAATGAAACTTAAGCTTCTGCGCCCAAGCATCTGAACCCATATCAGACCCCCCCCAACGCAAACCATGCACACGACTGACATTTTCCATTCGAAAAAATGAATGACACTCTTCTGTCCCAATGCCCCTTAATGTTTAGTAGGGCCAACAACATTATACTTTCAACCCAAAAACCATGGTTCCAAATACAATACCATATATATGGTGTGGTGTTCAACGCCAAAACAAATATGGAATTCTATGGTTTGAAAGACCTAGCTCTCCTTCCTCTCTAACAGCACTAATATGGTGACAGAGCTGAACATGCGTTTGGCATTGAATTAGCTTTTCAAATCTCTGAACGCAGTAGAATTATATAACATCTGCCTTTCTTGTTCCTAGTAGTAATGCCAGGAGCTACTAGTAGCTTCTTGCTCTTAGTAGCAAGGCCAGGAGCCCTTAGTAGCATCCTTGCTCCTAGTAGCGGTGCCCTTGTTACGGTCCAACCGGTCGAAAGGATTGCCAATCCTTCTTACCAATGTCATTATGGTTTGCAACCATCTGAAAACATCAGAGTTAGCATGCGTTTGCTTGCAAACACCAATGTAGTTATAGTTTGCAACCATCTGAAAACATCAGAATTAGCATGCGCTTGCTTGCGAAAACCAATGGAATTATAGTTTGCAACCATCTGAAAACATCAGAATTAGCATGCACTTGCTTGCAAAAGCCAATGGAATTATGGTTTCCACATGTATCCTGATCAAGGGCACTTCCAGAAATTCATCACAAATGGTCTTGAAATGACCAAACGTGATGACGCTCAAAAAAAAGTTTAACAAACACGCCTCTAGGGTATGTACCGGTTTGGGTGGTCCTTTTGTTCACCAATCTTTGGGACCCATGGGTCTGGCCGATCGTTTCACATGAAGAGGTCGTGCTTGGTCGAGACCGGGCACTGTCGGTGGAACACAGAACTGAAGGTCTTCACAGAGTGATTGGGTCAGACCACACCAGCCTCCAGGAACAAAGCGGCTTGCTTCATTCAGTTGAGCAACGTCATAAACCTCTATGAAAGAATTTAGGTAGGACTTAAGATTATGAATCTTTGCGAAAGGAAAACTGCAGTTGGGGAAAACTTGGCGAAAGGTTTGGAGAAAGGCTCTGAATGTTTGATGAAAGGATTTTGTAAGGTTTCCATTTGGAGATGCAGGATTTTTGATTGAGTTTCTCCGATGGCAAGCATGAAAGAAATTCTCAGACCATCATGTTTTGTGGAGTGGCTCAAGATGGGCAATCACAGTGGTCACTCGCGCAATCACAGCGGATTGGGGCGGGATGTTGCTGATGGGGCTTTGCATGGACCGTATGGACTGAGTGGACCAGTCCCGAGCTCTGGAGACCTCATAGGCTCCAGCCCAAGCGGCCCCCGCCAAAGCGGCCCCAGATTTCGATTGTTTTGCGATGCCATGGGCCACAACTGTGAAGGCTCTGACGAGTGGGGTGGTCCAGCGCGACAGCGAATTGAGCAGCGCTCACAGCCAATGCTGCAAAGCCTCCCAGAAGACCTGCTTGCACTTCGCCTGCTCGACCCCATGAGCACGTTGAGAGGCATTTGCCAAAGCAGGTCTTGGAAACGCAAGATGCTGTCGGAGTTCATGTGAGCAAAAGGACCGTTGCCTCTGATATGTTTGGTGTTGCCATTCTTCCACGCTACACTTCACTTACGCAGTTGCATTACTGTAAGTCACTGCGAAGCTTGACTCATGCATCAGAAAACCATAGAATCCATAGAACCTAAGAAGCAATCCCTTTTGGCTGACTTCAGTCATGTGCATTTGGCTCGCTTATTGACTTACACGGCTAGTCATGTCTCAGAGTCAAGAAATTGTTTGCACCATTTTGACATATTTTTTTTGGGCAACTACTGTAGGTGTTTATCGTTTCGGGGTGTAGATCAGAGGATCAGAAAGGGGTGTGCTGCACACTGTACGTGCACACATACTCCAATTCATCCACCAATCTTCAGCAGCTTGCCAGAGAAATGGAAATTCAATCCGCCCCAAGGTGTCATGATCCTGGATCTTCATCGAAATCTGGCTTTGTTCACTCTGTTGACTTTGTTTACTCTGGCTCTGAGCGCTCTGGCTCAGAGTGCTCTGAGCGCTCTGAGCACAATTCAAGAGCAAGTCGTCCAAGACCCGTCAGACCCGTGAGTGCCACTTCTGCAGAGATTTTTTCGTCGGTCAACCTGCGGCGTCTTGATGCCATTGCTGTTGAAATGCTCTTCGAAGATGCGTATGCTTTGCTGACACCGGACTGGTATTTGGATAGAAGAGACGTCAACCAGCCACATAGTTCCGAGTGGCCATTTTTCTCACCAGACTTTTGGTGTTCGAGCGACTCTGGCAAAGTTTGCTTCCTTCCTGTTTCAGATGCTTTGGCCGAGCTTGTGCTACCCGGTCAATATCACAAGGCAGTTGGTGAGGATTGGCGCTGTTATGATGCATTGGGGCGGCCTGGTAATGTTGGCGGTTTTCACGGATGCTGTGTTGACACCGGTCAGCCTGGGTCGGACTGGACTTTAGTTGCCAGGCTTGCCGACTTTGGATGGGTTTTGGACAGGGCTGCTGGAATCCGAGTGGAGTTTGCGGCCTTGGTTCGAAATGATTCAGAAAATCTGGTAGCGTCCCTTGGCGCGCACGATGAATGCCGAGCGCTATTTCGCGTGGCTGACGTGAGGTTGCCCACTGGCAAGCTTTTGCTTCTTGACCCTGCAGATGTCAATGAATTTGGAGGTTGGCGCTTGCCCGATAGAAATGCTTCGCTGGACTTGCTGGTTGAAGATGGGCCGGCTGTGCCCACTGGACTTGGAGCTGGGTACTATCCTGTCGTGCTTTCCTCTGACTCGGCGAAAGGGTTAGCGAAAGAGGTTGTTGGGTGAAGTGGGTCGGCGAAAGCAAAACATGCAGCCGCGAAAGCGTTGCGAAGGGATTGGCGAAAGGTTTTTATAATCTTAATAAAAGTTCCGGATGGTTTTTGACACCGCTCAGTTGGATTCCTGTCTGATTGACGAGTGCGCAAATGAAACTGCGCAGAGATCCCCCCCAACACTTTGCGGTTCAAGAGGGAAAGGTATATTGGCTACCGGCATCTACAGGTGCAGATGTTGACATGCATTGTGTTTTGGAGAGGCAGCTTGAACCATCAATGTATACACATATGGCAACATATGGGTGTATCCGAGGTGTATCCTTCTTCCTTTTGAAATGTTTGCCCAAGCCAAAAGTGAAAACAAGATACAATAGTTTGCTTATGACAGGTTATAAGTGTGGAAGGGCTACGCAAAAGAGGTGAGGGAAAAAGCAGTTGTTCATGCGAGCATCTTCAATGTCAAGCCCTCTAGACCAGCTCAGGACACAGATCGCAAGATGCAGAAGCTAGAAGGCAGGCAACCGTGGTTTGTCTTTTTTGGTATTTGTTTGTGCCTGATGCTTTGATGTTTTGGCATGGAAAGCTCAGGGAGTGGCTCTTGAACTATTGATTTGCATTGATCTAGTTTGGTCATATGACTGTTCACTGGTCGATTCCGATGGTGATACGCTTGAACACCCCTGGCGCCGAGCCGGTATGTTGTTGTTGTTGTTGTTGTTTCTTTTTAAGAGCACAAAAAACGGCGAGATTCGATCTCCCACGTGAGTCTTCTGTCATCCTTAGATTGCTTTGTCCTCCCTCAGGTGCAGAGAGCAAGATAGGCTGGGACCGGAGACGTGGGTCCACGGCAGAGAAACGAACAGACGAGATATCCGGAATGCACCGAGGCACGGGCTTCAACAAAAAAGGATGTCAGGTGTCTCATGATATCTCTACAGGTGTCATGGGTCCACCATTCTTGTTTGCTTAGCGCCGAGGGTGGGACGCATGTGAGACGACGATGAGAGAAACCATGGTCGCCCCACTAACTTGCGTGTGGCCGCTCTGGCACCCTGCAAGGCCGCACAGGGTTAAACCCAAGATGGGTTTCTCTCCAAGACTTTGAAGGAAGCTTGGTGCCTCCCAAAAGGGATCCTTACGTCAATGTATACTATTTGAAGGGAGTATCTTTCTCTCGACATGCATCCATACCTCCACATCTGACTCCCTTAGTCGAGCAATTTGTGTTTGTCCTGTACAGCTCCGGCCTTTCGTTACACTCTGTAGATCACCGTGGCATGGCGCGCATGGCGCGCATGGCGCTGCTCAGTCAGGCGTTCCGTTGACCATGGAGGCGGCCGAGCACTTTCAGGCCGTGTCCGTGGGAGTCTATTAATCAAGAGTTTACATCTATATTACGTCCATAAATTATGTTCTTACCTTAAACTGAACAGCGATTTCCTAGGGTTTGATGCTCCCAAGGTTTTTCTTGCAGAGACAGTCAGGGTGAGAGAATGGAGCGCCAGGCGCTGGCAGCGAGCCGCGCTGAGGTGGCCACCGGGGCTTTTTCTCGCACGATTTCTGCCCCACAGAGGGAGGGTTTGGCAGTGAGCACCCCATAGAAAGCTGCAGTGAATCTTGGACGGAAGCAACCCATGTCACCGTCAGACCCTGAAGATGAAGACAGACCAATGCCACCAGCCGAACCGAATTATACACATAGTTACACACATAGTGACATAGTAGATATACAGCATATATATACACATATAAGTGTGTATTTATATATACACATTATACATGCTACGTACTTCCTTCTCACTTATCCGGGTTCTCTAATGCAGGACGTTCGTCAAATACTGTCTTGCCCTCACTTGGACGCATCCAGCTCCGAATCTACGAGAATCTTGTTCAATGTAGCATGTTCATAGTAGATGGCACAAGCCCACCGTCGTCTTAAGCACAACACCCAGCCATCATCAGCGCATGAACTACCCGTGTTTTATTTAATACGGTTGTTTTATGTGGTTTCCTTTGGCATCCAACTGCCCCGCAGCACTTGCAGGCCTCGGATCAGATGGCTCGGGAGCCGGCGGATGTGGATCAAGAGAAGCAGAAGGCAGAGGCCCTGCAAGCTATGTGTGCCAGTGTCTCCTTTGGCTGGTTGTTTTCGTCCCATTCGCATGGTTGGTTGGGTTACCAGAGCCACAACATGTGATTCTTTTGTTTGTGATGTTTTCCTTACAGTCCGCTCTCAAGCAGGGTGCGAACAGAACGTCAGCAGGGTTTCCAAGTCCTTCAAGATGAATCTGTAGTAAGAGCTTAAGAAACCGTTGCCTTCCATCTACCGTCAGAAACCGATGTCCCCTTCGTGCCTGCACCTGCCGCATGGGTGCTGCATTGGTTGATCCCATGCAGAAGAGGAACCAAAACCTTCCTGAAGACCCCAAAGACTCAGACTGAAGATACTTGCCAACCCTCACCCAAGCTGCCCAAAGAGCAGGCGCTGCCGAGCCCCGCGGCGCCGCGGCCGCCCAAGTCGCAGCGGCCACCGACGAGTGCGGCAGACCTGGAGGTGGGTCATTTGGTCTGAGTTGGGTAAAGCTCAGGCCGCATGGGCCATTGTGATGGTTTGGTTGACCAAAGAATGTCAAGAGTCAAGAGTCATGTTGTCGGACTACAAAGACTGGGAGTTCATCCTCTTAGAAGATCAGCATTCAGACATCTCGGAGGGTATTTGTTTCTTCGTGTAAGTTCATATCATGTCGCCATGGTTCTCGGTATTTGCTGTTGCTTAGTGGCCAGTGGGTAGAGCCACCCTCCACGCGTCAGATTGACGCAAGTTTTTCGACCGGCAAGTCGGATTGCCTAAAAGGTGTTTGGGGATCCAATGTCAAGCACTCACAGCCACTTGCAGCATGCAAAGCTTCTTAGGGTGAAACTTTACAAGACTTGAACAGCAAGCTTATACTCTAGTACTATACAACAAGCTTCTTATATAGTGAGAAGTCTTGAACAACAAGCTTCTTGGCGTGGCAACGGTATAGTGTTGCGAATGTCGTTTGGGGCCACACCAGACCTGAAGGAAGTACTGTGAAATCACAACCTATGGAGTTGAACGCTTGGCTTTGTCACGTTGAGAATGTCATTTGGGCCATGCCACAGGAAGCAAAGAACTGTTTAAAGTGAAGGAAGCACTGTGAAATCACAACCTATGGGACAAAAGCCAGCTCGATGTCACGCCAGGCACTGATAGGAAGATTCTCGAATGCCGGCGTCGTTCTGAGCCATGACCTTGCACACCGACATGGGTGCAAAGCCAGTGGCAGCACCTTTGCCTGGGCTGAAGGTCCGCGGAAGCCGCTGGTTCCGCCGGGCTGGATGGATGGCGGCATGTCCTTTCGGCCTCGTGCTTGCAACCACAGCATGTCAGCTATGTCGAAGGAACCGGCGTGCCACACGATGTTTCTTTGGGGCGAAGTCATGGAGCACTACCATGCTGATCATGCTGGTGTGATTGGGGCGAAGGGGTTCGCTATGGCGAAAGATCGGAGATTCTAAGGTCCCAAAAAGGTGGGCGGTCACCGACTTCCTCATCCTCCACCTCCAGAGGTCAGGATGGCAGCGACCTGGGAGCTGCGGAGTTGGGAGGATGCCGAACGAGTGAGGTCATGGCTTTTCCCGACTTAGACTGATTCCCACATCTCAGCTGCATATCACGCCTTGACCAAGTTTCATCAGAAGGGATTGCTGCTGCCAGTTTGTGTTGAAGCCCCGTGTTGCCCAAGCTCCATGCACGCGCTGAGGAGAGGATTATGTTGAAACAAGTCCATCCACGGGGCTCTGCCAATGTGCTGTGGGCAATGGCAGTGCTGCTTGAGGCAACTCCCAGAATGGCTTCATTGCTTCCTGTTTTGATCAGCATTTTGGCATCGGCACATCTGAAGGATGCCGCTGCTGACGTGCTGAAAGTTGTGTGCCAGCACTCCTTGCCCACATTCCGGGCAAGGCCGGTGAAATGATTCCTCAGCAATTGTCAAACTGCTTATGACTATGGGCATCAGCGCAGTTGAAGGATGTCGCTCCTGATGTGCTGAAGGTCGTGCCAGCACTCATTCCCAAAATGTTAAGCAAAGCTGGTGCCATGAATCCTCAATACTTGTCCAACTGCTTATGGGCATCAGCACAATTGAAGGATGTCGCT